GGGAGTGTGGCGTGCGGGGGAAAGGGGGAAATGGGTTCCCCAACCCGCGACCCGTGTGCACCCATTCCCATTTCTTCATATTTCCGGTGGTTTTCCACCGGATTGCTCACGAAATTGGACTAAGAAACCATTCTCAATCATCCCCTAGTCCTTTCCTCTTCCATTCCCAATCGAATTTTATGGGATTTGAGCTTGAATTCGTGTAGAACGAAACAATGGGTTCCGTGGGTACCATGACAAAATCCGACGATCGTGAAGGTAATCCAGCAAATTGTTGCCACCAATAGACTCCCATAGAACCCAGGAACAAAGCCCAATCAGTGGTGGAGGCGTCGGAACACATTTGGAGGTCGAATTGAAACACACCCATTTCTAGGGTTCCGACGGGTTTTGTTGAAATTGGAGGCTTTCCGGGCCAAATTGACCTTGGTCACAGGTATGAAAGTTGTTCTACTCATTGAGATCTTCAAATCTGAAAATTTTGGTAATTTTTAGAAATAATTGAATTTTCCGGCTAGCCGGGGCGGCCGACCGCCACCCGCGGCGGCTGGTGCGGCGGCGCGTGGCCTGAGGTCCACCAATGTTATTTTTAGACTATATGTGATGTCTTGAATTCATTTTTGAGAAGTGAATGACGTAGATTGATCATTAGAGCCAAAATTCTCTAAGATACATTAATAGGCCATTATATGAATCGACGATCCGACCGTTGGATCGTCATCAAACTTTGATAGATTATTATTCATAATATTTGAGGAATATAGGAACTTACGGATTGGGAATCCAACTTATGGATCTCCTCGAATTGGATTTGTAAGTTAGTAAAATAAAATGCTGACTGCCACTTGGTTTTGGCAATTGACGGAGATCCGACCGTTGGATCGTTCTGAAAGTTTAGTATGTTATTCTAGAAGCATAATGTGAATCCTTGGAAGTTACAGATCAGATATCTGATTTGTGGATCTTCTGGACCGAATTGCGTAGACTTGAGTGCGTTGTAAGTTATGTATTATATCAACAAGAATTCTTAGATATGGTTTGATAATTGGTCACAGGCGCCAATCGTTTATGACGACTAGATGTTCGTGCTAGGAAGTTTTAGCCCGAACTCCAGGTGAGGGGATCTTTCCTTGCTCATCTTATGTTTCATGATTGATAATTGTATAAAAGCTTTTAAATAAAACTGAGAAACTTATGCCATGACATATATATATATTTTTTTTATGTTATAAAATACTAGGAGATGGTTGAGTTAGATTTCATTGTGATTTATCCATATGCGTATTACTATAAATGTTTTTTGTGAACTACGAATGGCTTGATTCCTGTTTAGGGTACGTAGGCAGTCTAACGAGACGTTAGATGCAGCCATATAAGAAATTAAATTAAATAATCAAGACCATAGCCTTGTTTAAGGAACTGAACAATGTGTGTAGGCTTTTGGTTTTAGGTATATATATATATATACACTTGATGTTTCCCATAAATGCAATTCAAGGATTTATGCTTTAAAAACGCTATGCCTATTGAATAATGCTTAATCAATGAGTTGAATTGTTTGTGTGTATATATATAATTGTGGTGCCGTGAACGCTTTGAAGTGTAAAGGTGAATGCAGGACACTCGGGTAAGTTCATGTAAGTTTAGGTAAACTCAAGCAAGTATAGGGTATTAGTTTGATTGATGAGATATGTGATGAGATATGTGATGAGATATTAATATGTCGTATAGGTCACTAGAGGTGACTCCGACTATTATATGCTAGCCATAACTGATAAGATATATGATTGATGAGATATGTGATGAGATATGAATATGTCGTATAGGTCACTAGAGGTGACTCCGACTATTATATGCTAGCCATGATTGATGAGATATGTGATGAGATATGAATATGTCGTATAGGTCACTAGAGGTGACTCTGACTATTATATGCTAGCCATAACTGATGAGATATTAATATGTCGTATAGGTCATTAGAGGTGACTATTATATGCTAGCCATGATTGATGAGATATGTGATGAGATATGAATATGTCGTATATGTCACTAGAGGTGACTCCAACTATCATATGCTAGCCATAACTGATGAGATATATGATGAGATATTAATATGTCGTATAGGTCATTAGAGGTGACTCCGACTATTATATGTTAGCCATAACTGATGAGATATTAATATGTCGTATAGGTCATTAGAGGTGACTCCGACTATTATATGCTAGCCATGATTGATGAGATATGTGATGAGATATGAATATGTCGTAGAGGTCGCTAGAGGTGACTCCGACTTACACGCTAGTATACATAATGAATATATATGATGAGCTAATATATGTGGTGAATACGTGATGGGCTAGTAGACGTGATGAATATGCGATAAGTTAACATACGATTATAAATATGTGAAGCATGACTTGAATCAATATACGTATGTAAAGATGTATATTTTATATTCTAAGTCTGGAAATTATACAGGTGTTGTAGCGAGTGATTACATGTTTTATATGTTTTCTATTAGTATTTTACTTACAGGGTCACTCACCCTTATCTTGTCTTCACCATCCAGGTATTATTAGCTGAGTTTTATCATCACCAAAGACTCGCAGCGATTCTTAGTATCAGAGACTATTTCAAGGGTATGATTCTTACATCACTTTTCTGTACTTACTTATGCTCTAACATCACGTGTGAATTTGGTTCATTCTCGCTCACCAGTGCACTCTGGTAATTAGGCACTTTTAGGTTTAAATTTATTCACAATTTTCCACAACATCACACTTTATGGCTTCGTCACCTTCCAGGTGTCGGCCAACACAGCTTGATTCGGAGTTCAAGTGGACATTCCGGATCGGGATGTGTCATTGCGGGGGAGCGGGATTGGTTGTAGAGGGCCATCCAGCCACCACCATCTCCATGTTCTCATGCAACAAATCAGCCTACGCTGCTGCTGCTAGAAACTAAATAGCTAGTTTCTTCGTTTGAAATATTTTGTTGCTCAACACAATATAATTTTGCTATATTTTATTTCAGTAGTGGAAGATAATTAATTAACAAAAATAGTATGTGTATACGGCAACACACATCATTGTCTAAAAGTGTAAAGTGCAAACAAGCGAAGAAAGCTACAGAAGGGCGGTTAAGTTGCCTGCAAGAATCAAAATCCAACGGACGCTTTGCTTTGAATGAAAAGTTAAGTTTTTTTCCGGGATGAAAAGCGGCAAAGCAAATTCTATTGCATAAATAAATTTTGGATAAATATCGATCACATGAAAAGTAATCTTCATCATGCACCATTCATGATGAAAAGCATTCATCGTTCATCAACATTTCTCCTTCCGTTTCTAATATATATTAAAAGTGTGATTTCAGTAATGCTAATATAATTCGTTTTGTTCAATTGGCAAGTTAATTTCTTCTTGTCTGCTTTGTCTCTTGTTGAAAACATTTGTGTTCAAGTGAACAGTTAGGGATTGAAAAGTTAAAGTTAACAAAGTGATATATGACTTGTTTGAATATGCTTTTAAAATGACTGAAAATACTTTTACAAAAAAGTTTTTGGGTTACATGCTTATTCCAAGAAGCACTTTAAGTGATTTTTCTGGATTTACTTATATTTTTACTAAAGATTGGTTCTAGAAATATTTTTACCAAAAATGCTTTCAGTTATTTTAAAAGCATATCCAAACGAGCTCATAGGTAATGCTAAGTAGATCAAAATTTTAAACCAAATAATATGTCACCAATATGAATTAAGTACCTTAATCAACACTTCAATTATAACTCAATCATTAATAAACATATCATTTAGTTTACAAAATTTAATTTAAATAAAATATAACGAGTGAGTAGTTAGGACTATCTCTTTCTCCTATCTTTATATTTTTTTTTTCTGTTAGCTTTTAGCCTGATGAAATGAAGCATATACATGACGTCATACACGCAAGTTATATATGCAACATGCAAATCAAGCCAATTTTATTCTAATTAACTATTTAATTACACAAAATTCCCAATACTAAAAAAAGCATACAAATTAACAAAGCAATTTTATATACATGCCACAAATATTATGGTCTACTAGTATTTCTATGCCTCCAAAAAATAGGAGATTTAAGCTCGACTTACTTAGATGATGAGTTTGATACATAATTAATCACTTTAGCAACAACATACATGCATGCCAACGAGCACATATACATCTGAAAAACACGTTAAATGGACAGATGGGCTCACGATAAAAAGCAAGCATAACATGTGTGAAGAAAGATCGAAGTCCAAGTAATTTAATTAAGGTACATGTAATAACTAATTGAGTTCCGTTTGACAAAAGATTTACTATGGCGTACGTTTTTGAAGCAAGAAACCAATGATTGTTACGAACAAGTTAGCTGGCTGATGCTTATTCAATTATTTCAACGAAACGAATTCGAATAAACCTTTCTCGTGGCCAAGAGCATCTGCTGCATGACATGAGCAAATATTCAGGGAACAATTCACGTGATTCATAATGGATATATCTAAATCACCATTTCTTTCATCTCAACTAATTCTCTCAAATATTTCAACGAGCTAGGTTTCTGCACCAGGTTTATATACATATTATATATGGAGTACTGGCATTCCAATACTAATTTAGCATTTGTTTTACTTAAATTTACACACACGCACACACACTGCATGCATACATACATATATATATATATATATATATACGGGAGAGAATTCGTGACACCATTTTTTTGTAGTAATGATCTATGAATTATATGATATAAGATAGCCGGTTCGAATCATTAAAATACATCACTGAATGAGTCCAACAAAAGCTTATGTAAAAAAAGTTGTGCCACGAATTTTTGGGTTGGTAGATGCAAGATAACAGTTCAATTGATAGTCACCTTGTGTATTCCATTCAAACACAATTAATCACAAATTAAAAAATTTAAATGCAGGAAAAAGGATGAAAGCAAATTAACAAATCAAAATTACAACATGAAGAATTGCAGTAACCGTAGTAATAATAAATTTAAATAATAAAAAAGAAAATTTACATGAGTTTAGTTCACAATAATCATGAAAATTAAAATGGCCCCGGAAACCATGAAAGTACTATACAGTATTCGTGTATGCAACAACATCCATTTCTGACTAGTTAATCTACCTACCAAAATAAAGAAAAAATTTAAACCCTTAATAATCCCAATTAGCAGAAGGCGGCGCGACTTGTTTTTGAATGAATGTCAAAAGCCCCACAAGCCTTCAATGTCGGAAAGGGGGACAACAGATGGATCTTGATCATAGGATGAGTTGTTGGTGCTGCCCAATTCTTGCTTTGAAATAAATGATGATGATATCTCGGTAGTGTTCATGTCGGTGCTCAATCCGGTGTCTTGGGAGAGGCTAAACATAGACTGGTTGGACGAAAACTGCTCGACCTTGCAGTGCCTGTCTAAGCCTCCTCCTCCTAAGCCAGACGATGATGTTTCATTATTATTCTTCCTCTTGTTGTTGTTGTTGTTGTCTGCAGCTATTGCTTTTAGAATGGCCTGATCATCGTCATCACGGTCACTACTAGTAATAGTACTTGTTTGGAACACCGACCCTTGCCCTTGAGTACCCCTCATCATCCCTTGTTGAAAATAATCAGAATCGCTCATCATCTGATTTCGCTGGAAATTTGGGAAACTAGAAGGATTTTGAAACTGGTGATGATGCTGATGATTATGATGAAGAGGTGGAGGATATAACATGTTGGAAGGGTTACTGAGACTAATGGCTTGGTAACTGTTGTAGTTATTGTTAGGCTGCAGCTGAAAGTTGCAACTCTGCTTGAGGCCTTGAACACCGCGGCCGCCTCCCCCCAGTGAAACGTAGTTGAGGTAACTGTTAGTGTTGATTCCACGATAATCCGATGGGTGTGGCGCTGTGATAATGGAATCGGGCTTGAAGTCATTGTCTCCATAGCATGAAGAATGTTTGTTGGTCATGATGTTGGAAGTATTAAGAGGAGGATCCATAAGAGGTGGGAGGGAAGAACAATCCAAGAGATCGTGATCCCCAATATTCCCAAAAGAGTTCATCCGAGTTGGGGTAAGGGTTCTTTTGAGCCCCATGTTCTTGTGGAAAACTCTGCACACAACCCATTCATCCTACACCAACGTATATATACAAAATTAAGATTAAAATTAAAACTAAAACTAAAATCGATTGATCTTCAAATATTGATGACTTGCAAAAAAAAGAAGAGAAAATTTAAAGCTAGCTAAAAGCCCAAACCCGTCCTTGAAAGGAAACTCCCAACCAACATAACAAAATTCAAAAGGGGGCCACGGATGTTTAATTGGTATTAAAATAGGTATGAATATGATTTTAAAAGTTTAATTACCTTTGCAGCCTTGGAGAGGTTATTGTAGAGTGGGATTTTGCCATCAAGCCTGTATTCATGCATGACCCAGTTGGTCTTCTCTCCTTTAGGGGCTCTCCCTCTGTAGAACACAAGAGTCTTCTTCATCCCAACCAGGCATCCTCCTCCTGCACCTTTCCCGCCCTGCTGTTGCTGCTTTTTAACCTTATTGAATATCTCTTTATCCTTTCCTGTGGCCTTCCAGTACCCTGATTCCGTCGCACGATTCGTCCTCATCCCCGTCGGATACTTCCTGTCTCTCTGGCAAAAGAAGTACCACTCCTTCTCTCCCATCTTTGCTTCTTCTGCTCAAGGAATATACATATCCATATATGCAAACTAAGTTATTTCAAGTAATTCAAAATATATATATACATACGACACGAAATACCCCTGGAAGACAGACAAGTAATACTTACTAGGCAAATCCCAAGGTTCGCACTTGTTCAAATCAGCTTCGCCGATTGCAACAGCTTCGAAGCTGCTGTTGATGACCTTCTTTATGAGATAGCTAGTTATGATTTCTTCATCCGTGGGATGAAACCGAAAACCCGGAGGCAACCCCTTGAGCTCGTCTGATAATCCTCTATTCACCACCATGCCTGTTTCTGTTTGTGCTTCAATCGACGGATCCATCTCTCCTCTTTTGTTATATGTATATGTACGCCGACAATTTCTCTTTTTATATAAGGGCTGCCTAGCAAGCCAGCTAAGTTCAAGAATACAAAGTATTCTCAATCCAACAATTAATTTCAACTACAAACCGAAGAAAAGAAAGAAAATTAACGAATGAATCTGCAGCTAGCCGATCGATCGAATTGAAGAGGAAAGAGGGAGAGAGACAAGTCAGAGAAGAAGAAAGAAAGAAAGAAAGAAAGGGTCAGAGAGCAGTTAAGAAAATAGAACAAAGGAAAAAAAAAGAGCTTTTATAGAGAAGGGAAGAGACGGGTTTCTTCTTCAAAACAGCTCATATTATCAAGATCCGTGGTCCGCAAGGCACCTGCTGAGGAAGCCACATAATTTTTTATTATTTTTATCTCCATTATTTTATGTATTGTTTGTTTTGATTTTGGGAAGTGTTATTGACACTTCAAAAATCTCATTCAACACTTCTCACAAGTGTATTTTTCTTTCCTAATATAAAAAGTTTGGAGTGCTAATAACAATTCATTTGGTTTTTTGCGAAGATAATACTTGAGTAATCAAAGTGAGTATTCTATATATTGATAGTAATATGGAGACAAATTTTTTAATCAAATAATGTGTTACCAAAAATTAATAAACACGGTAATAAGAATTTGTAATAATTTAACCATCAATATTCACATTATTTGGTTTACAAAATTTAATTTAAAATTTTGATTTTTTTAAATTATTCTTTACTTATTTATTTTTTAATTTGGTACAATAAAAAATATCGGGTGTTTCTTATTTTTCAAAAAAAAAAGAATTACTAGCATGCTATTATTTTCTAAAATAATAAAAAAGGTGTGAGAATATTATTGGATTAAATAAAAAAGTGAATTCTCACTTTAAATAACCAAGTATTATCCTTTGCTAAATTAGAAATAAGAACAAAAATTAATGAATTGTAAAAAAAAAGGAGCTTTCTATGTTGGAGGGACCCACGTTCCCAGCGTACCCAGTAGCCTTTCACATTGGCTATTAATTTAATTAAACAAATAAAAAAGGGGCTTCTATCGGAAGCTTCCAATGAATAGTTGAATGTAACCTCTTTTGGAATTTCATTGCATGTTCCAATCAGTTAAACCGAATCCATCCAAAAAGTCTCTCCCTATTAAAAGCTTTGGAAAAGGTTCACATCTTTCTTCCTCTTTTCGTTCATTCGTTTCTTTTCTACAACAATACATACATATACAATACGTTCATGAATATATACATATACACGTTTAATTATCAGCTTCAATTATGAATTATTCAAATTAGTACTTAATTTTGTAGGTGCTCGATTAGTGGCTTACTGACTGACTCGGCTAGCTAGCTCATCAACTGTTTCTAAACTCATGTAAATCCAAGGTTAAAAGACGTTAGGCGCTAATCGGGCGGCTGACTAGGGTCTAGCGTCTAGATGGACTAGACGGATTTAAGTAAATATATTATATTTTGTATAAATAAGTGTCTATTTATACTTAAAATATATATAATTTTATAATAAACTACAAAAGAGAATAACATATATATTATGAAGTATTGAAATATAATGAAAATATGGGGAACAAACATATAATATATGTTCATGTAAGTATTCAACAAGTCTCTTACAATTTATGAAAAAAATAAAATACAAAATGAAAGTTATCTATTTTTTGTATAAATGAATCGCAACCTAGGTGGGTCTGGACAAGCTAGGCGAGTGCCTAGGTGGTCTGGATTGGTGCCTCAATAGGTTTAGGTACCATTTCTTAATTTTCAATGCTTAGACATTAATTGGGATGGTGATCATCTGCCTGCCGCCTAGATGAGGTATAGAAGGGGCTTAGACTGGGCTTAAAAGACACTAGGCAGAGATTTTTATAACAGTATGTAAATCAATGTGTCATTCGCACACAAATACAGTTTCGAAAAAGTAAATTAAGTACGAATATCAACCGGTCCATATATCTGTCCCGATCTCTAATGTGTGGTGTGTACATATAATCATATATATGCATAATGTGGCAGAGCAAGAAATTAATTAATTAATAGATAGATCATGGATGCATTCCCCACAAAAAGCAAATCAGGAAAACGAGTACCCAACAGAACAGACCGAATCTAGCTAGGGGGCTCATACGTCATACCCCTCACCCCTCACCCCCCACCCCATAAGTCAAAAAGAACGAATTTTCTAAGAATTTTCCAGCTTATTAGTAGCTGGCATTCTAGGGAGAACATGATCCACCGATCACCATGATGAAATGAATATATGTGAAATCTTTAGCCCTTCATATATTTTCTTCTTTTGTTTGTCAATTTCTCTTCTATCTCTCCTATACCGTATGCCTTGAACTTGCAAAAACTTAAAATCGAACGGGAAGTGATTTGTGTACCCATGTTTTATTTTAATTTTTTATACAGATATTCTCCTGCTAATATGTTAGCTTTAGATTCAATAAAATTATAGAAGCAATCAGTGCATAGGGGAATGAAAAAACGTGCAAAAAAAAAAAGAAAAAAAAAGAAGAATGTAAAAATCTCTACAAGAAAAGCAAAATGAATTAAATTGGAACAACTGTTAGTATAAATAGAATTCAATATGCTATTTTTATGTATTTGTCTGAATACTTCAGAGTAGCCATGCATTTTCGCTGACTAAATCTTTTAAGCAACATTTTATATGAATTTGGCTGTTTTTTTTTCTTTCATCAACAAAACGAGAAATTTTTCTATGTGACTGGAACACACACCTCAGCATGATAGGTGGTGTTTTTCACCAATAACTTATGGGCACCTGTATTCTTATAGTATAACAATTTAATACATTTGAATTTTATTAAAAAAATCAAAATAAACAAACATGCACTGTTCCCAATAGTCTTAGTCTCCCAAAAGGCCCCCATCTCCTCCCAACTCTCCTCCTCCCCCCCCATTGTAACCGGAAAAATCTTAAATAGAGGTCGGTGACGGTAAAATCTTAAACCACCCACCTCCATCGTCTCCTGTGATTTCACCTGGACGCTATTTTTCACAAAGGTTTATGATTCCATGCTTAATGCCTTGGCTTTTTGCTGCTTTGGGGTTGTATTGTTGCAAGAAAAATTAAGTCCCGAGTTTTCCAACCTGAGTGAGAAACTGCAGTCACTATGATTCAAACCAATTTGAAGCTAAAAATTTGAGAAGTAAGACGATTCCCCCCCCCCCCAAAAAAACACGAAATCATTATAACAAATGATTCTGAGTAATCCAACTAAATTTTCAGATGTTTGATAATAAAAGTTTAGATCCAAACATAAATTTGAAAACTGTTGTTCCTGATGCAAACATCATCTAGACACCTCATGTCGACGATGCACGTATTGGTACCACCCATTTCAATATACATACTATATCAAAAGAAAGGAATCTCAATTTTTTGTCTTATGACAAAGAATTTCATTGTTGATGGCCTTGAGTAATTACGAATTAACCTCAATTGTCTGGTTGAGTCCAAAACCACATTTATAGACACCTTTCCCAATTACTAGTAAAGAGAAAGTTCCAAGTCACCAATTAGTTTGATGCTTCCACAAAAAAAATATTACTACTTAAGATAAACAATCTTCACCACAGGACATGGTAAGTATCCTACTCATCCATAAACTTTTACTGACTAGAATGCAATACAAAACAATGCCATCATACCACTCTAACTCGAAATTTCTGTTGACTTGTATTAGGATTCCTATAATTGTAGGATTCCTACCATATTTGGTTTCCTAGTTAGGATGTAATTATTTTTCCCTTATTCTTTCCCATATTTGTATAGGGTTGTATATATACCTTTGTTTGAGATGAAATACACATATCATTAAAAAGCATTCTTTCTTCTTGGCACCAGAGCCGGGTTAGAAAAGGAAAACACCGAACCCTAATTGTTTTTTTTTTCCTCTGCCGTGTCCCTTATCAATTGCAGTGAGCAACTTAGAGTTGTAGCTGCCCGTTTCCTGATTGATTGCAACGAGCAACAGAGAAGTTGTTGCTGCCCCGTCAATTCATCAGTATTGTTCCAAAGCCCATCAACGCTGCATGTTTTTTTCTGCCTAATTTTTTTGCCCAGTTTGTATTAGTCAGTACCAAGTTCCAAGGTCCCATCCACGTTGCAGGCTAGAGAGATAATTGAAGAAAAGGGGGTTGGTTCTCAGATTGTTCCAGTAGCTGCTCCAATTATGGTGCATTTAGAGAATTAATGCTTTAATATTGGTATGGTTTTGGATGAAAATAACTATGATTTATGGGCTCCTCTCATGCAAATCCATATTGCTAGAAGGAAGAAGATGGGATATCTTCGTGGGTCTATCAAGGCACCTAACAAAGACGATCCTAAATATGATGATTAGTTCTCTGAAGATCAAAAAATTAAGAGTTGGCTTTTGTCTTCAATGAAGCATGAGATTATGAAATGGTACATTTGGTTGTCTACATCGAAGGAAATTTGGGACTCCCTTAAGACAACCTACTTTGATAAGAATGACGAGGCTAGAATTTATTCATTGAATCAGAAGGCATAACGTCTTCGTCAGAATGCCCGACCTTTGGCTATCTATTTTGGGGAGCTAACTGAGATTTTCCAAGAATTGGATCACTTTAATAAGGTATCCATGGAGTGTGAAAACGATAGCAAAGTGTTTCAAAAATCCACTGAGAGACAATGAGTCTATGTGTTTCTTGGTGGTCTCGATGATGGGTTTGATCAGGTGCGTGGAGAAGTGCTGCGGAAGGATCCCCCACTTGGCCTGTAGGCTTCTTATGCATATGTTCGTTGAGAAGCCAATCGAAAAGAAGCAATGAAGATGGAGGTTAACAAGAGTGAACCCGTTGCCATGGCAGCAAAGGCTCGTGGATCATCTTTTAGGTCGAACTGAGAAAGGTCACAAAACCGGCCAGGACAAACTGGGCCTAGTCAAACAAGACGGGATCGTCCCCAAGGTAAGTGCCTATACTGTGGCATGACAGGACACTCCAAGAGTTGCTGTTTTGAGTTGATTGGATATCTTGAGAATTGGGATAAGACCCATGATCCTCGTTGCAACAAATCTCGAGCCTCCGTTGCAGAAACCAAGAATGATTCAAACCAGATAACGGACAAGGCATCTGCCATGATTGTTGCAGCTGGTAGTGATGGTAAGGCACTAAGTACTTCTATTTCTATTATGAATAATACATGGATAATTGATTCCGGAGCTAC